CGGTGGGAGCGGAGGAGGAGGCGGTGGCGGCGGTGGTGAAGGTGGCGGCGGAAGAGGTGGTCAGCGCCAGCAGCAGCAGCGCACTCGTGAGACCCCGCCCCCCCAGCAGCTTCGTGATTGGTACGGTGCACGTCAGCGTGGTGGGGGTGCTGGTCCTTGTGCCTACGTCCTGCGTACCAGCGACCGCATTGGTGAGCCGTGCGGTGGCCCGCACACCACCCAGCGCTGCTTCGGCCGCCTGACGGAAGCTTGCCGTCTCCAGTTCCCTGACGCCACTGAGATCCCCCACTGGGGTGAGCTGCTTAGGTCGGGGGTTGCTATCTTTGATCTAGATTATGATGCCATTCTTGCTGCCATGCATGTTGTGTCTACTATTGATGAGGGTGACTGCTACCTCTGTGTTCCACCTGACCCGGGCATTGAGGCTGCTGCTCTAGGTGCTGGTGAGGCTGCTGCTCTCGGTGCTGGTGAGTGGTGCTGACCTACAAGATGGGGGGGTTGACCAGTTCACTCCTGCGAGTCAGCGAGTGACCCACTGTACCTGTGCTCGGACGGGCCGACACTTGGCCACGTTTACCTGTCAGCCGGGGTCGAGCCTGTACACACTGACTACTGAGTCTCCTCCGGTTGCTGAGTCTGGTTAGGTAGCTGAGTTGGGTCACGTGTTTGCTGCAGCGTCCAGGTCTGGTCCTGAGTCTGCTCCCTGGTCATGTCGTCTCCTGTCCGACCAGACTCTCCTCTGGCACCAACGCCTTGGTCACCCCTCCCTTCCTCGTCTCCGAGGCATGGCCTCCCGTTACCTTGTCTCTAGACTCCCCCTGTCCCTCCCTCCCCTCCCTCCAGGGCCTGCCCCTACCTGCGTTCTCTGCGTCGAGTGGCGCCAGCGCGCCGCCCTTCACTCCTCCGAGTTTGCTCCACAAGAGGCTCCGCTGCAGACTCTTCACATGGACGTGTGGGGTCTCGCCCGCGTCCGTGGGCAGGGTCACGAGCGCTACTTCGTGCTGGTGGTTGACGACTACTCGCGTTACACCACGGTGTTCCCCTTGCGCAGCAAGGGTGACGTCGCTGAGGTGTTGATCGACTGGATCCGCGCAGCTCGTCTCCAGCTCAGAGAGAGTTTCGGCTCAAACTTTCCTGTTCTGCGTCTGCACTCTGACGGAGGCGGAGAGTTTTCCTCTGCCCTTCCGAGAGCCTTCTGTCGTGCACAAGGCATCCGCCAGACCTTCACACTTCCAGCCTCTTCATAGCAAATGGGATTGCTGAGCGCCGCATTGGCATGGTCATGGACGTCGCTCGTACGTCCATGATCCATGCGGCTGCTCCCCATTTTCTGTGGCCGTTTGCGGTTCAGTACGCAACGCATCAGATAAACCTTCAGCCCAGGGTCTCCTTGCCAGAGACCTCCCCCACCTTGCGGTTGACCAGGAAGGTTGGCGATGCGTCTGCGCTTCGTGTCCGGGGATCTCGGGCGTTTGTCCGCGACTTGTCTGCGGACAAGCTGTCCCCCCGTGCTGTTCCCTGCGTCTTCCTTGGCTTCCCCCCTGACGTGCCTGGTTGGCAATTTTACCACCCCACCTCGTGCCGTGTTCTGTCCTCACAGGACGTCACGCTTGACATGTCAGTGCCTTACGACCGTGTCTTCCTCTACCGCACTGCGCCCCTCCCCTCGCCGCCGCTCTTCCTTGCGCTAGGTCCCCCCCCGCTAGACCCTCTCCCCCCTCAGGGTCCTGCCCCGTCAAGTGTGTCCCAGGTAGACGCAGTGGAGCCTGTCGAGCTAGCTCTTGACTCTGGTGTTGCTAGGGGTGCTGAGCCTGGGGGTGCTGAGCCTGGGGGTGCTGAGTCTGGGGGTGCTGAGCCTGGGGGTGCGGAGCCTGGGGGTACGGAGCCTGGGGGTGCTGAGCGTGGGGGTGCGGAGCCTAGGGGTACGGAGCGTGGGGGTGCTGAGCCTAGGGGTGCGGAGCCTAGGGGTGCTGGGTCTGCTCGTGTGGCCTCTGGCGATGCTGGGTTTGGGGGCCCTTCCGGTGCTTTGTCAAGGCGGGAGCTACCCTCTCCACAGGAGCTGCGCGAGTCGTTTGCCTGGCGCTGGAGCCATGCTGCTGGAGCTGGAGGTGCTTCTGTTGCTGCTGACCCTGGGGTGGGCACTGGAGTTACTAGAGCCACTGGTTCTGGAGGTGATTGTACTGGCATTACTGGAGCTGCTGGGACTGGGGGTGCTGCTGGGGCTGCTGTATCTGGTGCTGCTGGAGGTACTGGAGTTCCTGGAGCTACAGGGCCTGGTAGAGCTCCTTGTGCTGGAGCTGCTGGCGGTACTGGAGCTGGTGGTCCTGCTGGAGTTGGAGCTGGTGGTCCTGCTGATGTTGGAGCTGCTGGAGCTCGGGCTGCTGGGGGTGTTGGCGCTCGAGGTGCTGATCGCGCTGGTGCTTTTGAGGATGCTGGTGTTGGCGATGTTCGAGCTGGAGGTGCTGCTGACGCTGGTGCTGCAGCTGGGGGTGCTTGTGCTATCCCTGCTGGTTCTGGAGGCGCTGCGCGGCCGCGGCCGTACTGCTTCTTGGTCTTCCGCCTTCTACTCGTCCTGCTCCTCCCTTAGAGTGTCCACAGCCTGTCCACTCGCAGTAACAGTTACAGCCCGCCTCCCCCCTGCCTACTCCTTCTCCCTACACTGGTCCTACTGGAGGTCTTGCTGAGCGCCGTGAGCCTGCGTCTCGTCCTGCGTCGCCTGTTCGTGCACCTCGCACTAGTAGTCGTGCTCCGCGTCCGCGTCCTCTTGCGGTCCCAGGCACATATCAGATGGCACTGCTTCCTTCCACTGCTCCTCTGCATGTCCCGTTGCCGTCTCCTCCAGAGTCCTCTCTTCCTGTTCTTGCTGACCCGGAGTTTGACTCTCTTCGTGCTGCCAGTCCTACTGTCACGCGTCTCCTGGCTACTGTTGTCACTGACCCTTCCTTTGTGTCCACTGCTGCGTCTGCGCTTGTTGCTGAGCTTGTCGACTTTGCTGCTCGCTGTCGTCTGTCTGTCCTCCGTCCGTCGGGGGTGAGTGTGCTCTTAGCACAGACGTCCTTGAGGACTGGCAGGAGGAGTTCCACTGTTTTGCTGCTGCTTTGCCTCATCTTGTGTCCACGCTGGTTGCCCCTGAGGGAGACCCGGATGCACGAGACATCACGACTCCTCAATCGTATGCTGAGGCGATCGAGGGTCCCTACTCCTCACAGAGGTAGTCAGCCATGGACGCAGAGATGGCTTCCTGGAAGTCCACAGGCACCTACGTCGACGAGGTTCCCCCACCTGGGGCGAACATCGTCAGTGGCATGTGGATTTTCAGGGTGAAGCGACGGCCAGGTTCTCCGCCTGTCTTCAAGGGGCGTTACGTGGCTCGAGGCTTCAGTCAGCGGCAGGGAGTTGACTACGTTCAGACCTTCTCTCCCACCCCGAAGATGACCACTCTTCGGGTGCTGCTGCACATAGCCGCTCAGCGCGACTACGAGCTTCACTCTCTTGACTTCAGTAGAGCTTTCCTGGAGGGCAGCCTGCACGAGGAGATCTGGCTGTGTCGCCCACCTGGTTCATTGGGTCGTTTCCTCCTGGTACCTTGTGGAGCCTCCGGCGGCCAGTCTACGGTCTCCGCCAGGCGCCCCGTGAGTGGCACGACACACTGAGGACTACACTTGCGGCTCTTGGGTTTGCTCCTTCTACAGCCGACCCGTCGCTGTTTCTACGCACCGACACCTCTTTGCCGCCGTTCTACATCCTCGTGTACGTCGACGACTTGGTCTTTGCCACTGCTGACACTGCTGGACTCGCCCACGTGAAGTCCGAGCTGCAGAAGAGACACACGTGCACAGACCTGGGTGAACTGCGCAGCTACCTTGGCTTGCATATCACCCGGGACAGAGCACAGCGCACCATTACCCTGACTCAGTCACACATGGTGCAGCAGGTCCTTCAGCGCTTCGACTTCACGTACTCCTCGCCTCAGGCCACTCCTCTATCTACTCGCCACTCGCTCTCAGCTCTGCCTTCGGATGAGTCCGTAGAGCCGAGTGGCCCGTACCCAGAGCTTGTTGGCTGCCTCATGTACTTGATGACCTGCACACGACCAGACCTTGCATACCCTCTTAGCATCTTGCCACGCTATGTTGCTCATGGGAGACACCAACCAGAGCACATGGCTGCAGCGAAGAGGGTGTTGCGCTACTTGTGCGGTGCGTCGGGCATGGGGCTAGTGCTTGGAGGGCGGCGTTTAGTGGTCCTCACAGGTCACGCAGACGCTTCTTGGGCTGACGACCTGGCTACGCAGCGGTCGTCACAGGGTTACACCTTCAGCCTTGGCTCTGGCTTTGTTTCGTGGCGGTCTACCCGCTCGTCTTCTGTTCTCGCCTCCCGCTGTGAGGCTGAGATCTATGCGGGGGCCATGGCTGCACAGGAGCTACGTTGGCTCACCTACCTCCTAACTCACCTAGGAGCGCCGCCTCATTCTCCTCTAGTTCTGTACGTAGACAACAAGGCCATGCTGGCCTTTTGTCGGGAGCACAGACTTGAGCACAGAACGAAGCACATTGCCTTGCGCTACTTCCTTGCTCGTGAGCTGCAGCAGCGTGGTCAGCTGCGCCTTGCTTACGTGGCCTCTGAGGCCAACACTACTGATATCTTTACCAAAACACTTCTGCCTTGTCATCATCAGCGCTTCTGTACGATGCTAGGTCTTGTGCCTACTTGGCCTCACTTGCTCACTTCTTGACCTTGCGTGTACTGTGATCTTTCTATACCTGCACTTGCTTGTTTACCTTTATATATGATCTTGCATGTGAACTGGCCTTGTGGCCTTGAACTTGTGCTTGGAATGTGTGGTGACGTTGTGATCCACCCTGAGCTTGCTTTGCTTTGCTTGACTGGTCTTGTGACCCCTTGTTCTCCCCCACTTTGCCTATGGGGGTGTGTCGGACTTATATGACTTAGCCTATGTCGGCTATAGTGGGGTAGCACATATGGGGTACAACACATTTCTAGGGTTTGTACTTGTGCCAGCCGAGGGTGGAGCCAGCCTCAACAGAGACACGAGCACGGACATCATCAGGGAGGACAGACTTCTTGTACTCCTCGGGCTGCTCCTCAAACAGCTCCCAGCAGACCATGGAGACAACGCGCACACCCTTGCCCTCGTCCCTGAGGATCTTGGCTGCCTTCTCCGCCATCTCGAGCTCAGAGCCGGTGGCCATGAGGATCACGTCAGGCTTGCCAGATGAGTTGTCACTGATGGTGTATCCACCCTTCTGTGTGCCCTCGATGGAGGTGCCGGGAAGGTTGGGCAGCTTTTGGCGGGAGAGAGCAAGCACAGTCGGCCTCTTCCTGTTCTGCACAGTCACCTTGTACGCCCCCGCAGTCTCGTTGCCGTCAGCAGGCCTCATCATCAGCAGGTTGGGCATGGCGCGGAAGGACGCTAGGTGTTCAATAGGCTGGTGAGTGGGGCCGTCCTCTCCAAGACCAATGGAGTCGTGGGTCATGACCTGAATGATACCAGTCTCGCCGAGCGCGGAGATGCGGATGGCATTGCGCATGTAGTCGGAGAAGATGAAGAAGGTGGCGACGTAGGGGATGAGGCCAGTGTGGTGAAGCTGGATACCGTTGGCGATGGCTCCCATGGCGTGCTCGCGCACACCGAAGCGGATGTTCCTCTCAGCAGGGGTGTCCTTCTGGAAGTTACCGTGCTTCTCCAGCAGGGTCATGTTGGAGGAGGCCAGATCAGCAGAGCCACCAACAAGGCCGGGGAGAACATCGGCCAGGGCGTTGAGCATCACTTGGGACAGGTTGCGGGTAGCATCCCCTGGCATGTGAGGGGTGTAGGTCGGAAGGGCCTTCTCCCAGCCCTCTGGCAGCTCGAGGCTGATGAGCTGCTTGAACTGGGCGGCCTCCGTGGGGTACTCCTTCTCGTACTTAGCCAGAAGAGCGTTCCAGTCAGCCTCCAGCTTGGCACCCTCCTCAATCTTCTTGTGCGTGTGCTCATAGACCTCAGCAGGGACTTCGAATGGCGCATAAGGCCAGTTGAGGTTCTCCCTGGTTGCGGTGACCTCGCTGGCACCGAGAGCAGCACCGTGGACGGCGTACGAGTTGGCCTTGTTGGGGGAACCGTAGCCGATGGTGGTGGTGATCTTGATCATGGTGGGCTTGTCCGTGACGGACTTGGCCTCCTTGATGGCGGCGCGAAGGGCCTCTGATACCATGTGAAAGTTTAGAAGAAAGAAGAGGATTGAACTAGCAAGAATGAGGATACAAATAGCAAACCCTGGAAGGGTTGTACTTGCTATAGAGCACCCCACTACAGGCTAGAGCATAATATTCTGACAGTTTAGAGGCCAAGAAAAAGCATTTAGAAATTATTCAGGTACCTGAGAAGTTGGGCAAAGTACTACGGAGCGTAGAAAAGGGTCGTGCGTTCCGTGGAGTTAATATTCTCTCCCCGCAGCACAGTGTTAAGGCTCCCCGTTGCCCATAGGTGAAGCCTACACAGCTCCCAAAGCTTAGAGGAGACATCCAAGCTCAGGAAAAATTATACAAGCCTCGGAACAATCCTCCTACCCCCCAGGTGAAGTTGGAAAGTGCTGAGTCGGGTATAGGAAAAAGGGAAGGTATTCACTTTGGTGTACCCTATGATCCTATTAATGAGACCCTCTTTGGCTACTCAGCGCAGCAGAGACCACTACTCCTCGAGGTTTTATGCAATGGGCGCCGCCTCCAGGCACTGGTGGACAGCGGTGCATCTCACTCGGTGTGTGACCGCGAAACATTGGAGAAAATTAGAGAGGAGGCAGAGGAGACCCAGTTTTCAGCAACCATGGTGGACGGTACGAAGCTTCCTATCCACGACAAAGCATCAGTGCAGCTCCATATCGGTGCGTTGAGGTGGAAGCCGAAGCTACCAGTCACCAACATAAAAGGGCTCGATTTTATCTTGGGGCAAGATTTCCTGAAGCGGTTCAACCCCGAGATCGATTGGGTCAACAGCAAGGTGTGCATCTACCATAACGGGAAGTGGATAGCACTGCGAAGTTGGACGGATACAGGGGACATTCTAGAAACAACACTGGCACGGTTCGAACAGACGGTGAACGAGAGTAACACGGGTTACCTAGCACTGGTTACAGCAGCAGAAGAGGAGGAGAAGCCGAAAGCAGAAGTACCTGCAGCAGTGAAGGAGGTCTTGGAGCAGTACAAGGAGATAATGCCCGACGACCTACCCGCAGGCATACCTCCAGCACGCACCCACGAGCACGAGATCGTGGAGGAACCACGTGCGAAACCCGTCTCACGCGCACCATACCGGCTGAGTCCTACCGAGGTGACAGACATGAAGAAACAGATAGCGTATCTACTGGACAGACAGCTGATCCGCCCATCCACCTCTCCCTACGGTGCGCCAGTTCTCTTCACACCAAAACCAGACGGCATTTTACGGATGTGCATCTACTACCGCGCACTGAACAAACAGACACTTAAAAACAGATACCCCATATCGCGCATCGACAACCTTCTGGACCAACTATGTGGGGCAACAATCTTCTCGAAGCTGGACCTACGGTCGGGATACTGGCAGATCAAGATGGCGGACAACTCGATCCGCGAGACGGCGTTCCGTACAAGATACGGCTCCTACGAATACTTGGTGATGCCGTTTGGACTCTGCAATGCACCAGCAACGTTCCAGGCGGAAATGAACCATATTCTACGACCCCTGCTGGACGAGTGCGTAGTGGTATATCTCGATGATATCCTCATCTACTCCAAGAACATGAAGGAGCACGTGGAGCATCTACGGAAGGTATTCGAGATCCTGCGGAAAAATAAGTTCTACGTGAAACTGTCGAAGAGAGACTTCGCATTGAAGAAGGTGCAATTTCTCGAGCACATGGTGAGTGCCGAGGGAGTGCACGTGGAGCCGCGGAAGATTGAAGCCGTTAAAAAATGGAAAGTTCCGGAGAACGTGAAAGAGTTGCAGCAGTTCCTAGGCTTCGCCAACTGTGGAGTAAAGAAAACAGGAATGAAATGACTAAGGAAAGATTGGGTACAAATACAACCCTAGAAACCCTGTACCCCATATGTGCTACCCCACTATAGCCTACAGCAACTATGTCATATAAATCTGACACACCCCCATAGGCAAAGTGGGGGAGAACAAGGGGTCACAAGACCAGTCAAGCAAAGCAAAGCAAGCTCAGGGTGGATCACAAAGTCACCACACAGTCCGAGCACAAGAGTAGGGCCAGAGGCCAGTTCACATGCAGGAGTACAGACATATATATAAAACTAGACAAACAAGAGCAGGCATATATATATGTCACAGTACAAGTGAAGTCAAGAGGAGAGCAAGTGAGGCAAGACAGGCACAAGACCCAGCTGGGTGCAAAAGCGCTGATGGTCACAAGGCGCGAGTGCCTTGGTGAACACATCAGCAGTGTTGGCCTCAGAGGCCACGTACGCAAGTCGCAACTGACCACGCTGCTGCAGCTCACGAGCAAGGAAGTAGCGGAGAGCAATGTGCTTCGTTCTGTGCTCCAAGCGCTGCTCTCGACACAAGGCCAGCATAGCCTTGTTGTCTACGTACAGCACTGGAGGAGAACGAGGCGGCTCTCCAAGGTCAGTCAGCAGGTAGGTGAGCCAGCGAAGCTCCTGTGCAGCCATGGCCCCGGCGTAGATCTCAGCCTCACAACCACCTAGCGCAGCAGTACCAATGCCCGGGTCGGGCTGGAAACAGCGGTAACCCTCATTCTCCTCACTATAATCCACAACATACATAGCAGTAAGGATAGCATCAAAATCAAGATCAAAGATCGCTACACCAGCCCTGAGAAGCTCATCCCAGCGAGGGATCTCACTAGCCCCAGGGAACTGCTGACGCCAGGCGTCCGTCAGGCGGCCAAAGCAGCGCTGGGTGGCGTGGGCACCCCCACACTGCTCACCCGCGCGGTCGCCGGAACGAAGAACGTAGGTGCAGGGACCAGTACCCCCACCCCTCTGACGCCCAGCGTACCACTCACGAAGCTGCTGAGGCGAAGGGATGTCCCGAGAGCGCTGCTGCTGCTGCCGCTGCGAGCGCTGGCCACCACCACCGCCGCTACGCTGCTGGGTACCACCCCGACCAGATCCACCCCCTCCACCACCACTGCCTCCTCCGCTGCCGCCTCCACCGCCTCCACCTCCGCCGCCTCCACCTCCGCCGCTGCCTCCACCACCACCGCTGGCACCACCACCACCGTCTCCGCCGCTGCTGCCACCACCACCACCTCCCCCGCCACTAGTCCCGCCGCCACCCCCACTCCCTCCGCCGCCACCGCCGCCACCGCCACCGCCCCCTCCAGCTCCACCCGCGCCCTTGCCCCCCTTGCCCTTGCTGGAGCGACGTCTCCCACTAGGGGCAGACGCCGCGCCGACCGACTCAAGACCAAGCAGGTCGGCAGCAGCAGCAGAGGCAACAGAGGGCAGCAAGGGGGAAGGAGAGCACCCCTCAAAGATGGGGGTGCGAGGGTCACCACGAGAAGCACCTACAGCGACGATGCTCTTCTCCGCTGCGAGGAGGGCCTTCTCGAGGAGGTCGACGGTGAGGGTGGTGGGACAGACTGCGAGAAAGTGGTCCCTGACGACTCGAAGGGAGTCAGGGAGGCGCGCGACTACGTAGTAGAGAGCGATATACATGGGGGGGGGGTTCTTAGCGCAGAACTCAGCAGGAAGGGCGGCGCGGTAGCGAGTGTCACTAGTGCGGAGGTGCGTAATGAGGTCAGCGACAGTGGGAAAGGCAGAGAGGTCAGGAAAGAGGTAGGGAAGCATGAGACGGCTCAGTGCAGCAGTGGCAGGGGAGGAGTAGCGCGCAACTACAGCGTCGTACAAGGTCTGAGCACTCTTGTACTGACTGAAGTGCGCACGCTCAGAGGTAGGGAGGTGGCGAGGCACAGCAAGACGTGCAGCAGCATCGCGGGTGGCCCACTTAGAGCGGACAGCGGGATCAGCATCAGCAGCAGGAGCAGGAGAGGCGCCAGAGGTGAGATCAAAGAGAGAAAGGTCGTCAGCCCTGTCGCACTGTAAGAACAGCTGCAGGTCGTCTAACCAGACCTCAAAATCAATGGCGCGACCCTCAGCGTCAAAAGCTAGGACACTAGGGGTAGCCATGGCGACGACAGCGACGCAGTGCAAGCAGCAGGGAAAGAGCTCGCAGTGTCAGTGGGACTGTGCTCACCAGGCAGGGCAGGTCGTGTAGGTATGCAGAAAGGCGGCTCGGGTGCTGGGCGGCTCGGGTGCTGGGCGGCTCGGGCGCAGGGCGGCTCGGCTCCCGGGCTGCTCGGCGGCTGGGCGGCTCGGGTGCAGGGCGGCTCGGCTCCCGGGCGGCTCGGCGGCAGGGCGGCTCGGGTCCCGGGCGGCTCGGCGTCGGGCGGCTCGGCTCACGGGCGGTTCGGTTGCTGAGGCGGCTCGGCCAGGAGATGCAGGGGCGGGGCCGTCAGGTGCAGCGGCGGGTTGACCGGTGCAGTGGCGGGCCGGCAGGTGCAGCGGCGGGCCGGCAGGTGCAGTGGCGGGCCGGCAGGTGCAGCGGCGGGCCGGCAGGTGCAGGCGGCGGGCCGTAGGGTGCAGTGGCAGGTCGGCAGGTGCAGCGGCGGGCCGGCAGGTGCAGTGGCGGGCCGGCAGGAGAGGCGGCGGAGCCGCGTCAGGGGAGGCGGCAGGGCCGCGTCAGGGGAGGCGGCGGAGCCGCGTCAGGGGAGGCGGCGGTGCCGCGTCAGGGGAGGCGGGGGAGCCGCGTCAGGGGAGGCGGCAGGGCCGCGTCTGACAGGCGGCGGGGCCGCGTCAGGAGAGGCGGCGGAGCCGCGTCAGGGGAGGCGGCGGGGCCGCGTCAGGGGAGGCGGCGGAGCCGCGTCAGGGTAGGCGGCGGGGCCGCGTCAAACAGGCGGCGGGGCCGCGATCAGGAGAGGTGGCGGGGCCGCGTCTGAGGGACAGCGGGGCTGCGAGGGAAAGTCGACCCGAGGGGGGTCGCTAAAAAAAAGGCGCGCCTCGGGGCGCGCTTCGGTGGGCCCTAAAAAAAACGGTCCTAAGGTAGGACCCGCTCTATACCATGTGGAGTAAAGAAAACAGGAATGAAATGACTAAGGAAAGATTGGGTACAAATACAACCCTAGAAACCCTGTACCCCATATGTGCTACCCCACTATAGCCTACAGCAACTATGTCATATAAATCTGACACCAACTACTACAACAGGTTCGTGCCACAGTACGCTAAGGTAGTAGCACCACTGACCGACCTATTGAAAAATGATACCGCCTTCAAATGGGATACTCCTCATCAGCAAGCCATTGAATAGTTACAGACAGCACTGACTACAGCACCAGTACTCATCCTACCGGACCCCGAGAAGGACTACGTAGTTGAAGAAGACGCTAGTGACCAGGCAGTCGGAGCAGTACTGATGCAGGATCACGGGAACGGGTTATAGCCTATCACCGACCTCAGTAAGAATCTACATGGAGCAGAACTGAACTACCCCACCCATGACAAGGAAGCCTTTGCGATAGTCATAGCCTTCAAGGCGTGGAGGTGTTACCTAGACAGAGCCAAGACTACAGTCTATACTCACCACTGCAGTCTCAAATACCTGAAGTCGCAAGCGACGCTCTCACGATGACAGGTGCGGTGGGTGGACTTCCTGGAAACTCACTTCTACTACGACATCGTCTACAAGCCCGAGCTACACAACAAGACAGACGCGTTGAGCCGCCCCAGACATGTAGCAAGCATCAAGCTCGACGGAATGAACCCTCTGCTCAAGGGTCTAATCCAACATGGGTACTCCGTGGACGCAAAGATCACTACAGCACAGACTAAGAAGCTATTACAGTGGGAGAAAGACTTAGCGGTAAGGAAGGGTTCAGGAAAAATTTGGGTACCGAATTACG